TGTATAAGACAACCCTCAATTTTTAGTCTAAAGATTTTAGACAAATGTATCATCTTACACACGGAAAAAAAAGGGGTATATATTTTAATTGAAAGTGTGGATGGATAGGGGCCTAGAAGTGCTGGGCCCCAGGGACGGATGTATTTTGCCCACCACAGCACTGGAGCAAGGACATTGCCAGAGCCTCAGAGGCATTGTGGACAGAACCACAAATCCCAGCCATGCTAGTTCAAGCTTCTGTACTCAGATGTGTGTTCTTATGTGATAGTTAACCTAAAAGTATCAGAAAACTTTGGATACAATTAACTTGTAAACTGAGCAGTATTCCATGTATGTGTGTGCCTCATCTCAAAATTCCCAGTCACTCAGGCAAACAATGTACAGTGGTGCTCCGCATAAGGGGCGCCCCGTTTAACGAAGAATCCGCATAGCGATGGCTTTTTTACGATTGCAAAAGCGATCACAATGTGATGTTTCAAATGGTAAAACATTGCTTTGCGACAATCGGTAAGCTGTTTCACTTACCGATTTTCGCATAGCGATGTTTTTTCTAACAGCTGATCGGCAGTTCCATAATGGGTGCCAGGTAAAAAAATGGCCGCCCGCAGTGTTTTTGCACCCTTTCCTCGCTTACCGGGCAGCGAAAATGGCAGCTGTATGGAGGATTTTCGCATAACGGTGAGTTTTTTTGCCCATAGGAATGCATTAAACGTGTTTTAATGCATTCCTATGGGCTTTTTTGTTCCGCATAGCGATGAATCCGTATAGCAACGATTTTTCCGGAACTGTACGTGGGTGTTCATATGATTTCAAATGGGATATGAACCAAAATGTTATAGTGTGAACGGTGTTTCTGGTCTAGCCAGCCAGCAAACCATGCTCTTTTCTGGAATATTTCCAGCATGCTGGATAGCTCAGTTGTTTCGGTCTCTGAGTTGGGAGTTGGATTATTATTATAAATGGCTGGATAGCTCAGGGGTTTTCATCTCTGGTTGCTGAGCCAGAGTTCGGGTGTTTGATTCCCCACTGTGCCTCCTTGACAGGGGCTGGACTTGATGATTCCTTCCAGCTCTGCTGTTGTAAGATGGTGGTGGTGATTCTGTTCTCATCGAACTTACTCTGTTCTCATTCAACTATTAGGGAAGGGAAAGATCACCCTCTTAGTCCCCTCCCCAATGGGTTCTTGTTGTTGTTCCTGGTGGTGGTTGGAGGGGGGGGAGATATTTTTTTCAAACTATAGGTGGCAAGATAAGTAATGTGCACTTGCCAAAACCCCAGAGTCAGATCACCATTTCTGAAATGCTGTTGAACACAGATAGACAATGATTTCTTTAAAAAAAGGTTAATGTAGGAAACAGTTGACAACATGGCATTATCAAGAATTGCCATTGCTTAAGGGTACCGTCTGAAATCTCACAAAACTGCTGTTCATCTCTGAATTTCCAGGCAGGTAGATATGTTGTAGGGCAGCCGATGCTGGAGGAGAAAAAATGTTTATTTGCTTGTTTTTTTTCCATGTGAGGCAGCTTTAAAACAAGCAGAATTAACTAAAACAAAGCAAAAACAGCTCTCAAATTGGCTGACTAATAAACATATTAAACATGTGCTTCTTGACAATTAACTCAGGTGGAATTGAGTGGAAGCTGTTTGTTTTCACCTCTGTGGAGGAGAGAAGAGATGCCAGTTGGGTTGTTTTCAGTTTTGCTCTTCTACCACAGACTGAGAGGAAGTGACACAAATAATTGTTATTTGAGGGGGTGTTTCCCTTTGTTTTGTTTTAGTTTTAGAAACAGTGCAAGATGTGTCACTGCCCTTTATTACACTAATCACAGCTCTTTTGCATTTCAGTGCCAAGCGTGATGCCTCAGAATGTCTCTTTGGAGGTGGTGAATTCAAAGGTAAGGCAAAGCAGGACCTGCAGGACTGAAACCATCCTGTGTTCCTTGCTTTCGTCTCAGTGTAAATGTACCTTGTGAAATAGTTTTATAACTCTATGCACTTTGACATTCAAATATGAAGATGAGGAGAACTCTGACATCTCCAAGCATGGTCACCTTAGAATGTCTCTCCAGTAAATATCAAAATGGCCTCCTTTCTCTACTCCTGAATCATGGGTGCTTTTAAAAAAAAATCCACATGGTTCTGGAAGTACTTTACCCATTGTGAGGTACGCCTCCTGTCCATCGTTTTGAGAGACATTCAGTATATCCCTTCCCAACTTGCTTAGAGTTAAAGTTATAAAATGTTGTTTTTTTAAGATGTCAACTCTCAGAACTCCTCAGTCAGCAGGATTAATGTGGCTACATACCTTATTACTTCAGGATTTGGTGATTTGTAATCTAAAAATACAACTTTTCCAAGCTTTGGTCAGACTTCTCCCATTAGCCGTTATGTCTTCATCTCTAAACTTGCCAAATCCAACTTTCTAACTTGAGGTATCCATTTCAATTTTAATGTGTGCCTGTTGTTTCAAGAAATGAGTGTTATGACAAACACGTAAGTCCTCCATTCAGTTTTTTCCCCTGTTTCTTGGGATGCTTGGCACTACATGTCTACTAAATTTCAAATTTTTGAGCGACAAATATTTTGATTGCTGTGTCTTGAAAGGGTGATATATAGATTGTCTTCTACAACCCAGATAGCATCCCCTTCCAGGTGTTTTCTACAATCCAGGAGTCTTGAAGTGCAAGTATGCAAAATTTTGCATTTGGTCTGGCAGTTGATTAATCACGTTGGAGCAGGCTTTGTGTCCAGTTTTGAGGGAGAAATCTTCTCCCTTAAGATTTTGTGAGTGTGCATAATATCTTACATAAATGTAGATCTAATTTAGAATATCTAGATCATGTAGAAGCATCCTGAATGCCTCAGGTGAGAGTAAGTACTGAGCATGACTGAAAATGTTTTTCCATTTGAACTTCTCAAAATGTATGTTAGAGGGGACGGAGCATGTGTTTCTGTGGGAATTGACAACCCAGAGATACAAAAGTTGCTCTTTTTTTAACTACACCTTCCAGAATCTACAAAGAAAAGGAAAAGAAAATGAAAGCAAAGTTATGTGAGGTTGTTTCATTGCTTCCAGGGAGTTTAAGGAAGGAAAATATAGGCCTGCAACTGTCAGTCTCAGCAATGTGTGTCTCCCTCCATTTAGCTCACATCCCCTGAAATTTGAAGCGTAATTTGTCTCCACAGTCCTTTAAAACCCTTGAAATTCTACTCAGAGTTTCTTATAATGGAAGCTTTCAGCAAATCATGGTTGTATCAAGTTCTTCTGAATTATGGTGACTCTACTAAGATTTCCAGAGTATATGAGATGTCCAAGGAGTAATTTACCATTGCCACACAAATTCCCAACACACAAATGAGATTTCTTGGATGGGCAGAGATTTTAACCCAGGTTTCCTGCTTCCTAGTAGAGATGGGCATGAACCGAACTATGGCCCCCTCCCGGTACAGACCCAAAAGACGAAGTGCAAACTGGTTTGGTTGGTTGGTTGGGTGATTGTTTGTGGTTTGTGAGTAGCCACGGCCCATGAACCATCACAAACCACTGGCTTTCCAGTTTATGCCCATCTCTAATTCCTAGTCCTGCAATCTATCCCCTACACCACACTGGTTCTCATTAGCAGTAGGCAAAAGTCAATGTACTTTATCCTAAGCGGCTAGTTTTGGAAATGGACAAATAACTATTCTAAATACAGCTATTTTTGTTATTGTGGATTATCTGCTTATCCTTCCTTATTAGCTCCGTTGGCTCTCCTCGTTGTCCCTGTGAGTTGTTTGTGATAAAAAGGCAGCTGGAGAGACGTGATGAGTTTTTCTCATGGCACAGGCCAAGGTGTCACAGGTAGTGGAGAGCCAGTTTAATTAAGAAAACCACCCTGCTTTGCGAACATTCGGGCAGATGTGGATTCTTATTAATTGCTGGCAAACAAGACTTTGCAAGGCAGTTGCTGACTCAAAGAAAGAGAGAAGGCCTCCTTCCGAGGCTTTTAATGAGGCATCGCTCTCACGGCACGCTTGATACGGCAATCTGGAGTATATAAGATAACACCAGCTTTCTGCCACGGACATTAAAAGATTGTCACCCATAAAGCCGCTCATTTGTGTCCTAGAAGCTGTGAAGAAGCATCCGTCTGCAAAAAGGGGGTGGGGGAAGTGAAGTTGCTGTTTCTCAAAGCAAATAATGAAACTCATTAATTGCCTTCTGTACCTTTCGGCTCTTAAAAGAGGCCAGCAGCAAACTGTGGCTTCATTATTTGAATCCACGTTTCACTGATAAACCTGTTGTTGTCAATCTTTGTGGGAAGGCTCACCCCAACTCTGCCCCCTGATTATACAATGTCCCTAATTATACAGACAGTCTATAGGGATAAATAGGCCATTTGAGAATGAAGGTTTATTTATTTGTTCATTTGATACTTGCATATCCCAGCTTTCCTCCAAAGAATTCAAGTGGTGTATGTGACCGCCTTTTCCATTTTTCTCCATGGAACAACCTTATGAGGAAGGTTAGACGGAGGTAGTGTGTGTCCCACAGTCAGCTACTGAACATCATGGTTGAATCGAGATTTGAACTTGGATCTCTCTAACCCTAGTCCATCACCCTAACCACTGTGTCACACTGTCCTGTGTTGCTGGGACATACTTTGGGCCCACAAATACGTCATATTGGCCGAAATCCAGTTGTAAGTCAAAACTAGAGAAGACATTTTGAATCAACAGAACTTACATAGTTCACTCACCATACCCCCACTGATTCAATGGGTCACCTCTAGTTGCAACTTACTCTTGGATGTCAGACACTGAATGATAAGAAAGAACAAAAGAAGGGGGAGCCATGTTGTTCTTGCATAATGTCTGAAGACAAGCATGAGTAATACCTTGATTAGCTAAAAAAAATCACAAACATAAGCTAGTTTTTCACCCCATACAGATCTTCATCTGGCTTGGCACCACAAAGCTGTGGATGGTACAGGGGGGTAGGAAAGAGGGAAAGATTTCAAGAATATTGGACAGAGGAATTTGGCATGTGCATCAAGCCATGATTTTTGGAATATATATATATATATCTTCCAGAAATCATGGCTAGATATTTCTACACCATCTGCAGCTCTATGATGAAGACCTGTATATGGTCAAAAGCTAGCTAATGTTTGTTGCTTAGTGGTCAAATAACATGGTGAATAGTGGGACTAGTTCCCTTCTGAGGGGAGCCTAGTCAAGGCCAGCCTGATTATTATATCATTAGATTATTATTAGATTATTATTATTAGTGTGAAGACGGTACCTTAGGTAGATTCTTTGGGCTGTCACAAAAAGGCAGCAAATTGTCATTATTGTCTTTAATGATGATTTTTACTGCCAGAATGTGAAATAAATGCTTGTGGGAAGTGGTGTAGTTGTGATACTCTGTAGGAGGTCAAAGCGCAGACACTTTTCCTATGGCCAGAACCTCTCTTGAATGTCTCCCCATTGGCTCTGTTAGATCACTCCCTCCAGCCTCTGTCATAAGATGACCACCAGTTTGTATCTCTCCAGAGAGTATCTCTCTCTTCAGAACCATCCTCCCTTCATGTTTCATGGGAATGTGTGCGTGTTTTAACCACTTCCCCTTTTGGGTGAAGGAGGAATCTTATCCTGACCAAGGCAGAGGGAGCCAGCTTGCCCTATCCTTGTCTTTCCGCTCCCCAATCTCTTGCCAGCATGCTAACACAAGGTGTCAAGTAAAACCTAGAAAAGGAGCCATCCTACAACCCATGGGCTGTTTGGAAAACTTTGCTTCTCTCCTTCCCCTCATCCCAACTCTGTGTGTGCAGCTTTGTTGCTGTTCAGTCATTAAGCCATGTCCGACTCTTCGTGACCCTATGGACCAGAGCACGCCAGGCCCTCCTGTCTTCCACTACCTCCCAGAGTTGGGTCAAATTCATGTTGGTCGCTTCAATGACACTGTCCAACCATCTTGTCCTCTTGCCCTCACACTTTCCCAACATGTGTGCAGCAGTGTCCTATTAATGGGCCCAGGAGAAACGTAGGGGGAAATTTGTAGGAAAATGATGGCAGCAGGGGGTAATTCATTTCATAATCTATGCAAGAAGTAGGGGCTGGTGTCCGAGTGGCAATTTCTCCCATCCCGTCCCATGGATCCGTGCCTCCCCCGGACGTTGTTGCAGCTGAGTCATAAGATGGAGTGTGTAAATGTGTGTGCATTCATGCTCAAGAAGGAAAGTGTGTGTGAATGTCTGTGAGTAAGTTTCATGGAGGGACTCTGCTCTTCAAAATTTGCAGCTATACTACTGCTTGTGGTATTTCTCTACCTCAGGTTCCCGTTCCTCTTTATCAATATAATATGTCCCTGAAATCACTGGTTCAAGTTGCTTACCATAGTGGGTTTGTGTAAAATGCCCCAACTGATGCAAAATGCCAGTGACCCGGGGCAGGAGGGGTTAACCCTGTTGTATTTTCTAATGTTTTGGTGCAAAGCCTTTCTCAAAGTTTTCTTCTGGAGAATATTAATATCTTTTAAAAAAACATGTGTGCAAAAGCACCTCTAAATAAAAGGACACCTTGTTTGAACTCTTCTTTTTTCATCTGGAAATGATGAGGGATGTCCACATCTTACATCTGATTTATTTATGAGCGGTAAAGACAATCAATCAGAAAGCTTCTTACATAATTCTTCTCCCTCTGCACTGCAACACATTTTGGCTTATCGAGCATATATCTCTAGACACGGCAAGAGGGCTGCAGCAGAGCCCTTGACTCTTAAAACTAAATTTTTATTAAAAAGTGAAAAGAAACAAGCTCTTCGTAAATTGAAATGCTGCAAAAATAATTCATGAACCACCGTCCCAAGAGCTGCTGATTTCACCCTTTCCCTTTCTAGTGATAATGAAGAAAT